CGATCACAGCGATCGCGCGATCGCGAACTCTGAACGCGCTCTTACACTCTCAGCTTGAGGGACTCTTTGCCATAGCCTTACAGCACTGACAAGAGGGAGATGCGAGTTCGAGCCCCGTCCCGTGTCCGACTTTTGCCCATATTTCAACATTCTTGTATATCTTTCGGAGCGCGAACTGCGGCGTTTCTCAGCAGCAGCTCTCCCCACCTCCACCCCCTCCAAACTATTCAGCACCGCTCTACCCCTTCCACTTGTTCATAGCGATGGCTGAAGCTCATATCAACAGTTGGAATAAAAAGGATGAAGCATGCGACGTCGATCAATCTCTCTCTCGATCGCACGCATCTCCCTTCCAATAGAATAGCATCAGCATGAATCTATCAGATCCGAGTGTGTATGATTTTCTGGGCTCAGTCAAGTCAGAAAAGCAGCACTCCCCCCGGCCTATTGCCATTGTACCACCTCCACCAGTCAGTCAGTGTGCCAGTCAGCTGTGTAATCCCAGAATGTTCTGAAGGCAATTAATAGGTGGCAGAGAAATGGAAAGCTGGTTGGCCAGTCATTGCCCCCTAGATCGTGCACCTGGAGCAGGCCTATTGCCATTGTACCACCTCCACCTTGGAGGTGTGAATACTCTTATCCAGTTATGAATCACGCAATACACTTGATCAGGCTGCTTCTACGCTTAGCAGCCCTAGTGAAAGTTGCCCACATGAGCACGTTAAATCTGGGCCTGGGTCCAGGCCTAGGACGAAGCCTATCACTAGCACTGCAGCTAGCGAATGGGCTGATAGCTGCACTCCGCTAACAACAAGAGCTTTGGTCTAGTGGCCCACGGTCATCCGAGAAACCATAGCCTTACAAGTTCCCGACGAATCGGCGTTAAAGGCTCTTTTGGCTTTCTATTTTGGGAAAAAAGATTTGGGTGTTTTTGAACGTTCAGACAAAAAGTTCCGACTTATATGAACACAGAAAATAAAAAATGCAAGAATGCGAGACTTTGTCACCTAGGAGATTCCAACCATCAGCCTATTGTTCACCATTTCTTTGGCCTTCCCCGAAGCGCACAGTGAAAATGGATTGCCCCTTTGGGGTACCCCTCCCCATACCACCAACACGAATCTCTACACGTTTTGGTCTACGAGTTAAAAGAGCTCATTTGTAAGAAACACCAGCTCTGTCCCTTATATAGTGTGGTGCAGCAGAACTGAGAATTTGAAGAATCATTTTAATCATTGTGATCGCATAGCATTATCGAACAAATTCGAAAAACAAAAAAATGCATTCTTCACTCCCGAAAGAACATTATGCGCACCACGATGTTATAATTACTATACGAACAACTGGACTCAAAAAACATAATTAGGTATATATAAGGATTTATAATAACATAAAATTTGCAGAATGATCACAAATACATCACGAACAATATAGCAGCTCTTCATATATCCTAAGGTAAATGCGCAGCAGTACGGTTGAGTCCATGCCTTACGATCCTAGCAGTTCAATCGAGCGATTGTGTCTCACCGCGTCAGTGCTTAATAGTTGGAACTGTTAGCGGTCAAAAAATGACCGAGATCCTGAATGTCCTTCAATAAACAGTTTGCAGTGGTCAACGATTGACGGTGCGCAGATCCTTCATCGCAGGACTGAGTCGCCCTAGTCGCCAAGTATGAACGCGGCCAAACTGAATGGCTGATCAAAAATCAAGGCGCACACGAAATGAAGTAGTACTAGAATTATGGAAAAAGCTGTCAAGCTTCAGAGAATATCATCGCGATGATAACCCACCACTTTCAATAGGGAATCTCCATCGATGATGAACCCTGGGTCGCACAAAAGCCAACAATTTTCAATGAGCCGAACAAATAGCAGTGCTAATAAAACCCTGCACTGTGAGCGTACAAGATTTGCAATGATCCACAATGTCACAATTTGCAAAAATTACTCATATCATACTGTTCTATTTTGATTGTAAGGTACAACATGTGGCTGAAGTAGTGAGTACAAAAACATTATACCCGATCAAACAAGGAATTTCTTTGTAATGGGAAGTGATAATGTGGTGTCATCATGAAGAGCTAAATTCAGGCTAAAAATAGAAAGCTAAATAGAACTACGCAGTCAAACCACACATTTTCTAAAGTCCAACGTCTAACTAAGCAACTACTTTTGCTCAAATTTAATTTGTCGCAGCTTAAGCGCTCTAAAATGCATTTTTTCGAGATCGGCTTCGTTCAGATTGAGTTCGCACACCTGAAAATGCCTTTTCTAACTTGGCAGAAACAACCAGAATTATATTCAACGCACTGGGAATTACCTTCTGGATTAAAAACTCTTCAGAGGTGATTTTCTGTGGAAGGTTCCTAAGGCGAGTCACTATCGAATGCAAATCAGGATATTGTTTACACTGCTCTTTAGTACCTAATCCATATTTGAATAATACCAGCGCTACTTTGAACAGGACTTTTGCACCTGAAAGGCAATATTTTAGGACAAAAAGGAGTAAAAGAATTGCCTTTACCTTCGCACATAAACATGTCCCACACTCGAAGGACTGTTGGCCATGGAAGAGTGCGGCAATAAATGCACATAAACCACTCCACCATGTACAGCACAGGTTCCACGTTTTGCTTCTTCTGAAGGAACTAATTTCAGTTGAGCAAACAAACAACTAAGCACATCATTTCGGCAAAAATGATGGAACCTTGGAATATACGGACTTGTAGCGCATGTATTTCTACCGCAGGGCGCAGTGGAGAAGACAAAGAACTTTGGATTATAGTTCCACCGCTTTGTCGTTTCTGCCCCACATACGTCTCGGGGACTTGGACTCTTTGGAAGCAGGATGAGCATGCGGTCGGCGTTATTCAACGCGCCATCGAAAGGGCGATGCTCGGAGTTTCCCGCTACACGCAAGTGAGAGAGGGAATCCGGAGCTCCGCACTCCGCCGACGATCGAAGATCAGAGACGCAGCCGCATTTGCTAAGGTTTCGAAGGTCAGGAAGACCGGACACGTAAAATGCTTTGAAGGCGACCGGCTGGACCACAGCGATTACCGATTGGATCCCACGGGATATCAAGCGAACACCCGGACGCCAGACTCCTTCTTGAAAGTCAATGGTATGAAGGCATAGAGAACGCATTAGGCAACTCTAGCACGTTGCACGGTCGAATGGAGGCGCTACCGGCGCACCAGCTCGAGTAACTTGATGACTATCGGGAGCTCGAATGATATAGCTGATCAAATGAAGATCTGGATAGATCCCCCCTCCCAAGCTCACATTTCCTCATAAATGCTTTGCATGGAGAACGAATGGCTTTGCGCTTATTGCGTTAAAATATACTATACAACTCCAGCAAAAACAGGACGAATGTTGAGGGCCTCGCTCAGAGTACGGCGATGCACCAGCGGGCCGTAGCATGTGGTAAAGAGATTCATCAAACTCCTCAATAAAAATTAAAAATATGTGCCGGGTTTTGGGCCCTGACTCCTTCGATCGATTTAAGGAACAGAAAACTTTGCGTGCCCAAAACAACCGGAACACGTTAACGTTCTTTCAGAGAAAAACGACGAAGCTCGCATGTTAAGTCGTTGAGTTTGGGTTTAGTATATGACCTGATGGAAATCCTTTTGAACTGCTTGATTTTGTCGTTCAAGCTCTTTTCAGTCACATTGGTGGCAGGCTTTGCTCTCTGGTTAGTTCACCTGGTGCGTCTACCACATCACCCGCCATTTCCTACTTCCTACCATGCTTGCTTCGCCGCGCTCAAGGGTTTCGTAGGATGTTTATCATCCAAACCGTGTCACAACAACTGCCACCATTTCACTCCTAGTGAGGGAAGTGAATGTACAAAAGCGTTCAAACAACATCGATATCATTGGACGAACCCGTACCCCACTTGACGGATACATTGGGGATCACACTGAGGTAAGAATCTTCCTCGATGCTGACCTAGCCGGGGTCCCCCACAGCACTGATCAACCTTCCCTTTCTCGCTTCACATTGCTACAGACTGAACCATTACGAGTAATTTCTATAGGTAAATGAGGCCTGTGATACAGAGGCGGTTCTATAGCAAGTGACACGGTTACCACGCGTGCGGGGTTAAATACCGGATCGGTTTCCGCCCATGTCAACCAAGCCCTCCAGTAAATTGGTACCAGATTCCGTGTGGGAGGATAAGAACACTGGCTGGTTCATCGGCTGGCCCCACGAGGTCTTTTTTAGGCCCCATCGCATCCATTAAGCCGAGGAAATCAAATATGACCCAGATTCTGTTTTACGCAACGCCGCGTTGTTTCATAAGCCCTGGAAGTTGATGATGGCCGTCAATCAAACAACGGACCGCAGTAAAGACAAGCTACATTCCATATTTTAGCATTACTCATTCCAAGGCTTTTTTGAGTAAGCTTAACTCAATTGCTTTCTTCGAATGAGCTCATGGAAGCCCAGATCCGAGAGCTTTACGGGGATGAACATTGCCCAAATGGAACATTTTTCACTAGTTACCATTGAGAATACTTCTAAATTAGAGTAAATATTGCCACTCACTAGGTGCTGATAGCTGGTTCTTGACTTTTCCTTTAGCAGCTGAACGAGTATGTCCCCGTCAACTTGCACAGCTTCCTAAAATGGTATCACTCAAAAGCTGTTCCAACGGAAAGTTACCGGGAAAAACCTTACCAGACCCGGGCTATAGTAATCAGGAAGATATCTATGGCACAACTGAACAAAACAATAGAACGCATCTCTGAAAGGAGTTAGGCTATCAGCCATGCTACTGAAAAAGTTAACGCATGAATTAGATTACCTGAGTGGCATATGCATCAAAAGGACCGACGCCACAGGAGCCTGACCTTGACAGTAGCCTTCCTCGGGGTGGAGAACAGTATATGCCTTCAGAAGTTGGAACAAATCTTCCTTTCTAAATTTTTCATAAGAAGCACAGCAATATTTACGCTTAAATGCAGACTAGCCTTTAATTGGAACTCCTTTCTAGTAGGTTTGGCCAAAACTCAGCCTCAGAGATAGTCTGACCCAGTGAACTAGAATATCCCATTCAGTTGAGGTGAAAACGCCTGGCCTCCGCGACAAAACTGATCCCTAGCGTCGACATCGGTGGCTCGGGTATTAGGCGTTTCGTGCCAAGTAGATGGTATTCATGTTCAGAAAGTTAAACTCCCCTGAGTGCATAGTTCCGACCAAATCTACCCGATCGAGAATATGATTCGATTCGAATCAGGTATAAGTTTTCAAAAGTGGAGCGAGAAAAGGGAAGCGCCTAAGCACGGGAATTTCTGGATTCAAGTAAAAGACAAACCCTGCTTCACCAAATTTGCCGTTCCTGGAGAACATTTCATGATTTGGAAATTGTCGATTAAGGTCTTTTTCAATTTCATCTATCCATTTGGGATCACCTGGTTGAGCCATGCACTTCTGAAAGCATTCTTAATGAGAACGTGCATTTCATAGTATGGAAAACCAAAGGCTGATTTAAGGGGATCGGATCGACACTCATGAATATAACGGCCAATCGGTATCTGTACAAGGGGGTGCAAAAAAGTCACTTTTCTTCCTTGACTTTCGAGGCGCTATAAGTTACACTTTATCAAATTCTGATCGGACATTTCTACCACCATATTAAAGAGCATATTAAATACTATCATGATACTCCGCCACAGCCTTCTGGAGGAGCGCCATCGAGAGATTCTGCCACGCGACCGTGAGTGGGTGCCTGAGTTCAGCGAGATAGTTGATTTCTCCGCCACTGTAGACCACCCTATTGAACTCCGCCCGAACCGGGTAATTGAGGGGGTTTAGGTCAGGTGACCTACTTAGATATTCCATCTTCTTCAGGTACTCAACCCCTTCCATTCCAAGTAGGCGAGAGTTTTTCCAACGCCCTTCGATTCCACGTGGTGTCACCCAATCCTGTAGCAGTACAAAGTTTCCAAGAAGGTACGGGCGACGACATGTGGGGAGGATATTCTTCTCGAGTTGCTCGATGTAACCGCCAGCGCTCACCTTCAGTCCGGGGTCCACGAAGAAAATATTGGTCTTTTCCACGTCCGGTCCATACCATCAACCCGCGCCTTGGCGACTGCGGTGAAGATGATGTCCTAGACCGTAGCGACGTTGTCGGAGCTGCTCGATGTTGGAGGTCTTCCAGATCGAGAGTACTGGTCTCCAGGTAGCTATCCATGGGTGACTCCATACTAGAAGTTTCGCAGCTGTTTGGAGGTGACATGAATTCCAAAGGTCTTCTCCAGTCAGGCTGCGACTGGAGATGACTTCATATTTTGGTGTACATGAAGGTGATGGGCGAGAGCCAGCTCCTGCTTATCGAGGAACATCTTGGGTATCTTCCGCCCTCGTATCCACGTCCTCTGTCTGGGCAGCGAAAACTTTGCTGATATGTGACTCGGTCGAAGTGACTTTTTTTGCCCCCCCCCCCCTGTATAGACCGTACTCCAGAAACACTCCTCCTTTTATAAAGCCTTGAGTAATAGAACACTTACATCGAAAACTGTCCGATTTGTGGAAACCTCCATTTGATATGTTGCACCACAAAGATATTTCCATGCTTTTCCTCTGATTGAAGGTGGAATACCTTTTCTGCAACGCTCTCGTACAACGTGAAACCTGAAGAGACTTTCTCTTGAGAAGTGACAGAAGATCAATATGTGAAAATTAGAGGCACAGTGAACGACTAGTTCGTTCTTCTGCAGCTAAGGCGTAAATCGCGAAGTTGACGACGGCAGATGGATTTCGCCGTTTAGCTCTATGCTCTATGGGGTAAGAGTATTGGCAATTTTGCGGAAACCTCACAGAATTTCGGGAAAGGGAACCGTGAGAACTCGTTCGATAGTAATGGGAAACTCGTCCATGTACTGGGAAACTCGTACGAAGCTTGAAAAAAAGACTCTCATCTAGAGGTATTTCGACGGTTTTTCTGCTATTACCTTCGCGGATGAGCAACTTACCTGTTTCACATTTGTACTTTGTACCTTTAATGGCACCGATCACTGAACATACAATTACCATGAGGAACTAACTTATCGTCCATGTAATACCTCCAGTTGTCCAACATATGTATCCACTTCTTTTCTCGTTTTCGTAACTTATCCAAATTCATAGAGGACTCGCTACTATAAGAAAGTAAAACACATATCGAAGAATGTGTATTTAGGAGAAAACAGCGACTACTTTGAACCAACCTTGCTGGGTAAGTTTCATCCGGGCGAACGAAAAACCCAAAACGATCTGTTTCAAGTGGAGTTCCTGCTTCTTCCTCGATGTTTTCCTCTAACAGCGAAGCTCTACTTATGGTGCGACTTGAGGAAGAAGACGGCCTCTGAATACAGTAGATGATTTTGGAGAGACAAATCATAGAAAACCGAGAAATGATATAGCTATGAAAGTAATGTAAAAGCGTACTTCTCCCGGTTTTTCTGGCTTCTCCCGCTTGAATGGTACATCTTCAGGAGCTCTCGAGTATACGAAACTCTTCGGTTCGTTATCTATGGCGGCGAAACGTACATCTGATGAGGTACATGGTTCTTCAGGACAGCTTGCAGGAAGTCCAGCCGATGTTGATGGTTCGAGTGATGACGTGCTAGTTACTACTGGTGACTCCATGCCGTCATGAATTGAGATGGATTGGAGACATCGGTTTGGGTACTGTAAATAGACAAGGACTTTCAAAGGGAACTGGAAATTAAAAGCGAAAACCATTTCTACGTATCGATTGCAAAGTTTCATCCCATTTCTGCATTACAACAATGTAATTTTAAACACTGGATTATTACAACATGCGATCTTCACATTCAATTTTCTACTACGAAATGACCTTCACGGCCTAGTTGAAGTAGGCAGTCCGTGATATGTTAGACAAAGGAAGAAAATGAAAAAGAGTGCAAAGCAGGACGTTGATGGAACGACCGATGGGACAAAGATGAAAGGAAGGCGATGTAATCTATCAGGCACTCGGCCTGATTCTAAAATGGGCAAGACCACAACCAATAATTATATTGCACTAAGGATACAAGGAATGGATACCAAACGCTGCGCCACTACAATTGCTGAGATATCTTTTGCGGAGATTTCTAGACAACAAGTTTCATAGGTGTAGAATATGAGGAGAATCCCTTCCAAAGAGGACACTGCATTCGCTGGGAGAATAGTATCGGACCAGTCGTCCCTGATCGCAGGGGAAGGGATCGCTTCAATTGAAATTGGCAGTTTTTTAACGACGACCTCTCGAAACCATGTTTTCCAGCACCGCTGAGCAGCGAGAAGGTGTCAAAGGTAGCCACCCAATCGACTATTAGTGGTAGTAACCTTACCAGCTGGCAGAGTTGAATAGGCAGTATATTACAGGGAGTTGAATATAATAGGCCCAAAAAACCATGAGCGGAAAAGTTCAAAAAGCTAGGCGCCTATATCCCTCTATCTATCATCGATGGAGAGCATTCGACAACCACTGACGCCGGGTATGTGACAAGACTACCGTGAATGTGCGGTGCTGATGGGCGTGACGAGCGGCGTCGCACCCGACGGACGAATCGTGCTGCCTCGCCGTTTATTCAGAGCGTTTAAGAGACGGGGAAGTTAGATATTGCCTGGCATAGGGTCTCGTCTCTGCTCGATCCCATACAAATTTCGCTACTACAGACGCCCACCGAAATTTGTCGCGCATCGTCGCAGGACACGTCGTGCACGACGACGCGACAAATTACGAATTGCCTTTTCCGTCTCCCACTGATCACTGCTCGAGCGTCCTCTCTGTTTGCATAAGCACAAAGAAAGAGCATAAAATCATACTCATACAATACAATGGTGGCAGTTTTAGTAAAAAAATGGAGAATAGATTGTAGGGGAGAGGCGCGGCGCTTCTTCTCCTGATTATTTACGCAAAACTGCTACAAACAGAACCCTTGACGCCGCAGAAGAGGATTTTAAGACAGAAGAAGCTTCCGAGTGGATAAACCGCTCCATTCAGATCCCCTTGTGCGGGTGAGATACGTATCGATCCGAAGTGACCGAATTCTGCGTTCATACTTTGCGTAGCGTTTTGTGCGTAAGTCAGCGTTTAGAGGGTTGTGAGCGTTTCCAGCGATTAGGAAAATATAGGTATCAATCTAGCGTACGCCAGCCTACGGCAGCGACTGCCCAACAAAAGCTCAAAACTGCCCGCAAAAATTCTAAAAATGCTGACGTAAAGTAGGAACGCAACCTAACTAACCGAACAATAAGGATCTGATCTTCAGGAAGTCGACTGCGGCGATGTAATTTTAGTGTATGAACGCAGCCATAGCATGTAGGGAAAGAGAACTTCAAGAAGATCAAGAAAGAAAACCGAATCAAAATGCTTGTTAGAGACTGGTAGAGTGGTGCAACAAAGCTTTTGTGTGGCTGCCTCTACGAATGTACAAATCGCTCTCTTTGGAAAAGGAGCCACTGTCCAAGCAATAGCAAAATTCACTGGCTTTCGCTCAACAGCATAATGCTGCTCAAATTAGATTTCTTCCACTGAAGAAAAAGTGTGGAGCTTTCAGTGATCTGCCTTCCCGGTATCAGAAAATGCTGAATCCTCGGCGTTATGACAAAAGCAAATTGCGGCATTGAAGAGAGAAAGCGAACAATTCCTGTCAGAGATTTCCGACAAATAACATCACACACCCGGAAAGCTTTTAACATACAAGAAAATTGCCCGAATATTTTCTCTTGAAACACTATCGGTTGTAATCGTCCTTCAAATAAGGTCATCCGCAACTGCAGACATTACATATGTTCGACAACATTCTCTCCCCGGAATATTATGCAGCATATATTTAACCAGTATTTTCTTTCTTATCAGGGATTGCACGCGTCTATGCCTCATAGTCAGTCCGCGTTACAACACTGTTTCCTTTTCATCTCCCGCGATTTGCGGGGAATTGTGGACTACAACTTGTGGCATTGACCCGGTCTTTGAACCGCACACTTTCTGCTCTTGTTTGCGCACATATCAGAGAACTAGAGCTTTCTGACAATGGTGATCTCGTACCCTCTAACGGTTCTAGTAGGTTTCGCGCTCATGAGCTCTCTCCTTTGTAACACTCATGCCGGCACTCACCGTTGGTTCTTTGGTACCTTTCAATGCTAAAAAAACTGCTATTCTCTACTAATCTACAACGTAGCCATTTGCTGCACGACCATAGCAGGAAGTCCAATTAGTCACGCGCCGGACTCGTCATGCATTGTTCGACTGGGATCGCGCTGATCACGTTTTTTACCAAGAGTGTATGCTGAGCTCTTGCGACTCGGTGAAAGAACATCTTAAAAGCACTACGCACAATATCCGAGCGGCTATCACTCCAGGACAGATGGTCAAAGAGAGGAAAAAAATGGGCGGAGTTAACTTCTTGATTCTGCCTTGCTCATCCCTTAAAACATGTCTTCCCTATTCATGCAAGGCGGGTAGGTTCAATGGAAGAGCACTGCAGGTACAAGGGGTGGTTTTTGATAATCGTAGTCAGAAGTCGAATTGTCTACTTAGGTTCAGTTTCCCTTGTTATCGTGAAGCCAGGGCCGTATGATCACGGGGGTCTTCGCTCGTGTTCCAGGTTTGAGGAAGTTTTGAAGAACCACCTTGTCAACTCGGCGACCGGGTACAGAAAGCAGACAAAATGAGGGCTATCCTTGTTCGATTATGTGTCGTTTTATATGCTTAGGTACGTATTTTACAATGTCAAACCAGAGAATGATCACCCCTCATCGCGACATCTCGACATTCAGCCACTGTTTTGTGTTATGTGCCACGCTGTTTGCTGTGTCTCTTATGACCTGACACGTGAACCACGAAGTGTCGGTGTACTATACCTTATCAACAACCGCTTTAGATGCCAGCTCCAACTTCATTGTTAATTTACTTTGAAGTTGGGTATATCCCAATGACGTGGGATATTTGCGAACTTCTACGGGGCGAACGTACTCCGGGAAGGGGGGGGTATGTGGCCGCGAGACGGCCATGACAATACTGATCAGTCGCGTCACGCGTATCGCGCGGTGAATTCTCTGTGTGCAACAGTTCGTCGATTGGAGCCGGGAAACACATAAGGGTTCGAGCTGAGGCAAGGTTCCATTACGATGATATTGAATTTTGTCCTCCCTACAATTAAATCTAAATGGTCAGACAGGACAACTCGTCTGACGGGCGCGGCGTCGCTCGCCTCACCCATCATCGCGGCAAATCACGGTTGTCTTGTTGCACATCGGGTCCATCAGCGCACTGTTCGTTCTTCCTCTGGCATTCTCAGAAACGAGCAGGAGACATAAATCTTACTTCCGCAGTTCACGCATGTACCTTTTACAACATTCAATGAGAGCGCGTTCACATTTCACGATGCGACCGCTTGAGTCGCGTGATCGGATCGCTAAGGTATGGACACGCTCTCAGAAATTCTCAAAAAAAATCACTCTTCGCGAATGAGGCGACTGAGTGTGAAGTATGAACGCACTTTGAGCTCTGGAGAAATGAAGGGACGTAAAGACATTGTCTGGTGTCCTCAAACTATGTTCTAGCTCTTTGTTACTAAGAGGTGCGCCGAAAATTGGGAAAAAAACTTCATTGTGGGTGTCTATCCGTCTCCTACCTTGCTTTTAAATGTTTTGTGTGCACTGCCCACACATGCTCCACCTCGTTGGTCTCGGAGTACACAATCATTAAGGACTCCAAAGTGGAAGATCGGAGAAGTGACCATACTCGGCCTAGTCAGAGTTTTTCCTTGTTTATTTTTGTCCTTTCATTTGCGCGGTTTACCCTTGCGCCACTCTGGGTATGTTGGGGAAGGTACGTACTTCGATACTTTTGAAAATGAACCAGGAATAACTCGGGATTAGGTGGAATATCGCCCAAATCGGATTTTTCGGAAGACTTATAGCAGCTGACGGCTGACGCAAAGCCTTTTGCTCATACGTCAGCACTCTTATGGGAAAAGCTGTGTCCTATCTTGCATCAGTGGATGTTACCGCATAAGTACTGGCATAAAAAAATTGGCACTATTTACCCTTTACTGCCCCAGTAATCCAGGAATCGAGCCAGTTTCTGACCGACTTTTTCCTTCATGGACAGATTAGGTTCAAATGTTGTTGAACCCGGGGTAGTTTGACCTCCAGATACGAATATCACATCCTATTTGGCCGGAAGCTCCTCACCCCACGCCACAGGCGCCGGTGACTTGGAGTATTTTTGCGCAAGCGCCTGTGGTGCTGGCGCCGAGTTGTTTCGAGCCGAGCAGATGGATATTCGTGTTTAGGAGGTCAAGACTACCCCTAGGAACAAGTTTTCAGCGGATTTCGTGATTTAGGGTATTTTGGCGCCGGCGCCTGTGGCGCGGGCGCCAGGAGATTTCATGCGGAACGGATGTGATGTTCACAAGGTCAGAATACCCCGAAGAGAAATTTTTAGCCAGTTCTGCCGACGGGGAAAAAAGTTGGTCAAAAACTAGCTAGATTTTAGATGATTGGGCAGTAAAGGGTAAATAGTGCCAAAATTTTGATCAGACTTGGTTTATGGAGCTCGTTCGGTGTCCAGACCACGAATATTGCCTTGCATTCGCTGACGATGCCATTTGGTGCCACCTTCGCGCACCCAT